TAGGCGTTTTTGTTAAAATGTTTCATTTTAAACTGCTGTAAATAGGTGCCTTTGTTTTGGTAGTTTTAGTCCCAAAAAAATCTATGCATATACAGGTACTCATTCCTCTTTGATTTGCTCGAAAAGTTAAATTTTTATCAAAAATTACATTGGCTGTTTAAAAACTCATTATAATCCCTGAAATGTGATAATTAGGTAAATTAAATTAAAAAACAAACAAAAAAGTTTATTAAATTAATATTTACTCTTACAAAATAGGTTCTTGTAAGTAAACAAGCAATTATGCAGATATTACTAAGTAAATGTACTTGCTTAAAATTCACACACGAATGTGGTTTTAACATGTTAAATTAACTAACCCTTCTTATAACTCTTTCCACATGTATGTATTCTTAGAGATGCTATTCTTTTACTTAATTGTACATCTGGAGAACTTTTTTCATTCTGTGATACACTAGGTGTGGCTTTACTAAAGTGCATCCCATGTTTTCAAGTAGCTGAATATTCTGAAACCCCTATCTGCCATTATATGGGATCCAGGAACCAGTTTGTTTAAATACCCACATTTTTCTATTATTTCTTTATCACTAGTTCTTCCACAAAATGATGAATACATTCGGTATCTTCAAAACTTTCAGGAGATTCTGCATTTTCTTCCAGAAGGGTTTTTAGGTTATACACCTAAGAATTTTCAATTTCCTGAAGGGGACAATTCGCAGAAATTGCTACTACATCTTGATAATCCGGTGTATTTTTATTAAAAAGTTCACGAGAAACATCGCCAGTAGAAGGTTGATTTTCTTCTTTCCAAATTTCTAGGAACACTAATAAATATTTTTGAAGATGAATGTGAATCATTATCACATTCTGGAACAAAACACTTTTTCGTAGTCATAATATTTATAAAAAGTACAAAATTAAACACTCAAATTCCAAATAAATTCTTGATCGAGACACTATGACAGCTGCCATATACAGTGCTGCCATTTTGCCATTTTCTGAATTATTAAGTGACTTTTAAAACAATGAAACTTTAAATATGGTAAAAGTTTAAACAGAAATAATACTTTCAAAAAACATTTGATATTATGTATTTAAAAGATATTTGTTTAACAATGTTTTAGAAGTCTAAAATTAAGAAGGAGTACACAAACGAACGTACATCACTTCTCGTAAACCTTCTAGCCGGCAACGTTGTGCGCTAGCTCCTATTGGTCTATTCCCGGTGACGTCATAAATTTTTAAAAAATTCATAACTCCGGCAAATGAATAGATAAAAAAAAAATAAAAAAAATGTAGTTTTATTTTCAACTCTATTATTCATAAAAAAAATTTCAAAATTTTTGAACATGCCCCATTACATAGTTAATTTAAATATAAACATTGGTAACTTGCTGAGACATTGTAATGCCTGTGTGCGAGCTAGGATATTTTAAATTTTTTTTTTTTTAAATACAAATAAAATTCGATATAGAATAATAAATAAATAGATAAATTCATGATAAACAAATAATGAAACAAGTAACAAAGCATATAATATAACATAAAACAAGTAATAAAACAAATAATAGAACATAACAAGCAAACAGTAGAACAAATAGTAACAGGGAGATAAAATATAGACATATTCGATATTTAATTCATAATGAAATATAGTTATTAAGTATTATTATTTTTTTTTTAATTTTTGAAGTGGAAAATTTATTAATTATAAATTATTTTAGATATCTTAAATCAATTAGGCTATTAAAAATATATCTGTTATTACTTGCTATCCAATTTTTTATAGCATATTTATAACAGGAAAGTTTATTAATATCCTTAATGTAATCTGGTAACATATTGGATAATCTTGGAGCAAAATAATTGGTACAGCGTTGACCAACAGTCTTTGAAGTTATTGGAAGGTAAGTGCATTTACCTCTAGTAGGGTAATTATGTTGAGGAGAAGTTACTTGGATTTTTTTTTTAAAAGTGTTTAAAAGAATGTTTTGGCAGTATAGCTGTCTCATATCAAAAAATGTACTTTCACTGAATAATGCGTCACTCTGATAAGTTACAGGTTTTTTAAATATAAGCTTGATTAGCCATTTTTGTATATTTTTTAACTGCTTTAAATGGCAGTCTGCCACACCACCCCACCCAATAATACCATAAGTAAGATGCGATTGTACCAGAGACAAATATAAAGTTTTCAGCTGATCTTCATTTAAAAAGTCGCGTAAGTACTTAAATTTATGTACCAAACCTCTAAGTTTATAAGTAATATTTTTAATTTGTAGATCCCATTTCAAATGCCTATCTAAAGTAATACCTAGGTACTTAATTGACGATGCTTTAGGTATTTGAGTTTTGTCATCTATATGTATTGGACCAAAACTCGGCAAATTATTTACATAAGAGGTAAATGGTAAATATTTCGTTTTTTCGGTATTTAATGTTAGTTTATTGAGTTGAAACCATTTTTTAACTGCTTTAAAATCATCTTGAATTTCTGTTTTTAGCGTGTGCCAGTTTTTTGAGCTATAAGTTATGACAGTATCATCGGCGAAACTGATTATTTCTCCATTTGTATGTAATGTCATCAAGCTATTTATATATAGAGTGAATAGAAGAGGTCCCAGTACAGTCCCTTGCGGAACGCCATAGGTAATTGTTTTTGGATCACTGAATACTCCATTGATGTTCACGTACTGCGTTCTATTTTTTAAATAACTTTCTAAAATATTATATATTTTTCCACGCAATCCATACATTTAATTTTTTCTAGTAAACGCGTGTGACATGCCGTATCAAACGCTTTTGAGAGGTCCACAAAAATGCAAATTGCAGGTGTTTTTGTATCTAAAGTATGGTATAGTTTGGAGATTAGAGCATGTATTGCATCTTCCGTCGATATTTTTTCTCTAAACCCATACTGATTATCATTTACGACTTTGAATTTGTTTAAAAATTGTGTTATTTTCAATTTAAGGATTTTTTCATATATTTTCGAAAAAATTGACAACAATGATATAGGTCGATAATTTTGAGTCAACGTTTTGTCACCTGTTTTATAGAGCGGTTTGATAATTCCAATTTTTAGGCATTCTGGAAAGCATTCGTCATTAAAGCTTTTATTTAGTAGATAGGTTAGGGGTTGTAAAATTTCATTTTTAATTTCCTTAATCGTTTCAGCTCTTATTTTGTCCCATCCGGGCGCTTTTTTAGATTTTAATGTATTTATAACATGCTTTATTTCTATTTCAGTTACATGGTGTAAATACATAGTGTTTTCAAGTATGTCTAACTGTTCCTCAAAGTCATCTGGAGGTAATATGTTGTTTGCAAGGTTCTGTCCCAATTCGATATAGTAGCTATTATAAACAAAGTATTAACATTTTTTAAACTTTTATGAAGCTATTTTGTTTTATATGTATATAAAAAGAACTCCACGAAGCAAAAAAAATTTACGGTAATTATTTAATATTTTTATCAATTTGTAATGATGGGAGAAATTCTAAAAATTTTGTTAATTAACAATAACCTACTTTGTTGGAAGATTAATTTTTATGAAAAATTCCAACGGGAATGAATTCTTCTAAGTGTTTAGAATACACCGTAATTTTTTTAAATTTTTGAATTTAATTTTATTAACTTAAAAAAATTATTTTATGTAACGTACTCGGTTTCGACGCCGTGCGCGCAATCTAAAAATGGCTACTTTGAGCGTTAAATTAAACTTATAAATAATGGAGGTACAGTTCCGGGAGTCGGAACTTATTTATAGCAAATTTCCTCCTCTTTAAGGATCTTTTTTAAAAAATCCAAAAATATTTATAGTTTACAAACTACAGGCGAAAAACCAAACACCACGTTTTTGAGGTGTTTAATTGTTTATAACTTTTGCAATTTTTTATGCACTGCAAACTTTTTCTTCACACATTGATCTAGACATTATTCCGAATCGAATGAGCTATTGAACATAATTTTCGTAATAGTATGTCCCAAAAACACGCTTTTGTACTTGTTGATTAGACTATGTTTCAAAGTGTGATTGAAAAATCAATCCAATTCTATTTTCTTTTTCACCACATTCAGATGAATGAATGGCTCAGCTGGTATCTACAATAATTGTATAGACACAGATAGGACAGGACACCGTCTCCTTCTGCACAACCAGAGGCTGTCCACAAAGTCTTCTATCCCCACTAATGTGGAGCCTAATCGTAGACGAACTTCTATGCAGATTGACTAACCTCGGCATACCCTGTCAAGGTTATGCCGACGACATAGTCATATTTGCTAGAGGCAAGTTTAGAAATATCCTGTGTGATATAGCTCAAAGACCAAAACATGGTACCAAGTGGTGGGACTTAGTATAAATCCCACCAAAGCAAGAAAAATTTTAAAACTATTAAATTAGATGAGATATAGAATGGAAAAAAGAAGTAAAATTAATAGGAAAACAAACTTCTCTGGAACATACATGAGAAGAAAGTAGTAAAGTAAATAAAGCCATAAAAACCTTAATAGTATGCAGAAACATTGCAGGTAAAAGATGGGAATGAAACCCAAACACACTGCGATAGATGTATACAAAAATAGTGAGACCTATCATCACTTATGGGGCTGTAGCCTGGAGAAACAGAACTAGTTTAGCTACTACGAGAGCTAATATCTCAAAACTACAAAGACTAGCCTGTGTTACACGTAAATCATGGTGCAAATAAATAAGTTATTAGAGCCTAAAGATTATTGTTACCTTAGTCTTGATTTTCAAACGTACGAATTAACTTAGAATAAAATTTCTTATTGAATTATCTGTGATCAAATTGGAATTATAGTGACATGCTCAGCTCATATGGAATATTTTCTAATGAAACAAACATTATAGAAACTTTCTCTCTGTAATTAATTTTTATTTAAAAATATAATAAATATCAACTTTTGGACTAAGTTAAATTGTGCTAAATCATTTATTTTTATACAAAAATTTATTAATTAAAAATATGTTTTACCTGATTGTTTCCTATGTGGATCTGATGGGGCGAGAAGGGATTGTAAGCATTGCTTGTGGGTGGTAGCGCTCCTAATTCGTTAAAATGAGACAATTGATTCGTCAAGGCTATTGTACCCTCTTCCACGACTGTTACTATTACCCACATTGGATCTAAAAGTAATTTTATATACTTAATAAAGATTTAATTTTACTACCAAAATATTTTAACTGAATTATAATACAACTAGCTATTGCCCGCGGTTTTTCTCGCGACTTTGCTCACATATAGTCGTGTTATTAATATAAAAAAATACATGACTTTTTTATTAGTTTTATTGATTTTCATTCATTTTTTTTAATTTTTTTAAATTTTTATTCATTTTTATTCATTTTTATTCATTTTTATTCATTTTTATTCATTTTTATTCATTTTTATTCATTTTTATTCATTTTTATTCATTTTTATTCATTTTTATTCATTTTTATTCATTTTTATTCATTTTTATTCATTTTTATTCATTTTTATTCATTTTTATTCATTTTTATTCATTTTTATTCATTTTTATTCATTTTTATTCATTTTTATTCATTTTTATTAATTTTTATTAATTTTTATTCATTTTTATTCATTTTTATTCATTTTTATTCATTTTTATTCATTTTTATTCATTTTTATTAATTTTTATTCATTTTTATTCATTTTTATTCATTTTTATTCATTTTTATTCATTTTTATTCATTTTTATTCATTTTTATTCATTTTTATTTTTTTTATTCATTTTTATTCATTTTTATTCATTTTTATTCATTTTTATTCATTTTTATTCATTTTTATTCATTTTTATTCATTTTTATTCATTTTTATTCATTTTTATTCATTTTTATTCATTTTTATTCATTTTTATTCATTTTTATTCATTTTTATTCATTTTTATTCATTTTTATTCATTTTTATTCATTTTTATTCATTTTTATTCATTTTTATTCATTTTTATTCATTTTTATTCATTTTTATTCATTTTTATTCATTTTTATTCATTTTTATTCATTTTTATTCATTTTTATTCATTTTTATTCATTTTTATTCATTTTTATTCATTTTTATTCATTTTTATTCATTTTTATTCATTTTTATTCATTTTTATTCATTTTTATTCATTTTTATTCATTTTTATTCATTTTTATTCATTTTTATTCATTTTTATTCATTTTTATTCATTTTTATTCATTTTTATTCATTTTTATTCATTTTTATTCATTTTTATTCATTTTTATTCATTTTAAAAAAAAAATTTAATAATTTTTATTAGTTTTTATTAATTTTTATTAATTTTAATAATTTTTATTAATTTAATTTTTACTAATTTTTATTAATTTTTATTATTTTTTATTACTTTTTATTAAATTTTCTTAATTTTTATTAAATTTTATTTATTTTTATTAATTTTTAATAATTTTTAAAAAAAATTTTAATTTTTAATAATTATTATTAATTGTTATTAATGTTTATTAATGTTTATTAATGTTTATTAATGTTTATTAATTTTTATTAATTTTTATTAATTTTTATTAATTTTTATTAATTTTTATTAATTTTTATTAATTTTTATTAATTTTTATTAATTTTTATTAATTTTTATTAATTTTTATTAATTTTTATTAATTTTTATTAATTTTTATTAATTTTTATTAATTTTTATTAATTTTTATTAATTTTTATTAATTTTTATTAATTTTTATTAATTTTTATTAATTATTATTAATTTTTATTAATTTTTATTTTTATTAATTTTTATTAATTTTTATTAATTTTTATTAATTTTTATTAATTTTTATTAATTTTTATTAATTTTTATTAATTTTTATTAATTTTTATTAATTTTTATTAATTTTTATTAATTTTTATTAATTTTTATTAATTTTTATTAATTTTTATTAATTTTTATTAATTTTTATTAATTTTTATTAATTTTTATTAATTTTTATCAATTTTTAATAATTTTTATTAATTTTTTATTAATTTTTAATAATTTTTAATAATTTTTATTAATTTTCACGTCATTATTTATTTATTTATTTATGCTCAGTAGCAGTAATTTAAATTTTCATGTTTCTAACTTTAAAGAACAAAGATTTTCATTAAAAGCTCCCTCCCCTCATTTCCTCCCATTTCACCCCTTTAAAGCTAAAATCCTTTCTTAGCGGATGCTTACGTTATAAAATAAACCTGTTTCAAATTTCAGCTTTCTAGGTTCAGTAGTTTTGGCTGTACGTTGATAGGTCAGTCAGTCAGTCAGGACAAACAATTTTATATATATACATATGTAAATATACAGTACCAAAATTGTAACAAGTGACACTGCTGTCAAACTTGTTTTAAACAAACTCATCTGTCAGGGTATACAACACTGTCTGTAAATAAGATGCTTACAACCGAAGAAAACATTTTTATATGTGAAGTTTATAATTGCTCATACAAGTTTGGCAGAAATAATGGACCCAGTATTAAATGGGTTGAATCTCAATTTGATCTGAAGTTTCAAAAGCCTAAACCATCGAACAATAGGCATATAGAACATAGGCTATTATAATAGAGACTGTCATTTTTGTTAAATCTATTAATATTTATAAGTGAGCAATATATATTATTATATTTTCACTTCAGTACTGTATATTTCTGGTCTTTTCACCTCTGAGTAAAATTGAAAATAACCGTAAATAAATAAAAAATATACTAAGTTATGATTATTGTTAAGTTTTTACTTACCACCAAAATAGGAACCCTTTGATGTACATAATCTCCATTTGCTCTGGTAAATGCCTGGAACAGAGGGCCCTTCCAATTCAACAGACAACTGAAAGCCTTCTCCGGGGTTTAAACATGGAAGAGGTACCCTATCTCCGCCTAAATTATGACCATCTGAACATTGAGCGTAACAATTAGTTGGCCACGTTTCATTACCACTATTCGAAACATGCCAAGTCTTTTTGAATCTAAATAAACAAGTTTCAAATAAATGTTCTATCTATTCATTTAATAAAAAAAAAAAACACCATCACAAAATGAAAGAAAAAGATGGGGTTTTGTTATTTTAAAAATTTAAAACTGTTTGTAATCGTCCCCTTTTTTTTTAATTTTTAACTTTTGACTGCACCCGAAGATGGAATAAAATAAATTTTCGAAACATATGTAGTGATTAACGATTGAAAATAAAAATTATGACCGATTAAACCAAGGAAATTTTTATTTATATATATATATATATAAAAAAAAAAAAGATATAATTAGATGTCCCAGAGATTGTTTGAATTGTTTTTCTGCTAAACCAAAAATAAATTAAATTTAATATTTACCTTACGTTTGGCTCTACACTCTCATTTTCATTTGCAAAAGGATCTGCAACCAGTTTCATCTGAGGCAAAGGATTTGGGTTCTCATAGTCAAAATAAGAACATACAGCAGCTTGCAAATTCCTTAAAATTAAATTATTTTAAATAAAATTTCTAATTTAAGGCATAGAATTAGTAGGTGTAACAAATTCGACTACTAATTTTTGTAAGTAAATAAAATTACTGCATAATTTTCAATTAGTCATATATAGAGAGCGGAATATATGCAAAATGCATATATATGCATTTTTTTGCATATTTTACCAAAGTTCAGAAAATTTAAGAAAATATTGCATATTTTCGAAAAAAAAAAAATGTATTACTATACTGTGCAAATCAAAAACTGTTTTAACAGATTATACAGATATATTTGAAATAAAGACCTTTTAAATTTTTGTATTTGTTTTTAAGTGTCACTTCTTGTAAATTCTTGTTAATTAGTTCTTGGAGGGTGGCATGCACTGGGTTTTTACCTTCTTAAAGCTTAATTTATAACCGCCGTAACGTAACTTAAGAACTTAACTTAAGAAGTTGAAATATTGAATTTACGTATACTTATTTATAATGTTCGTAACGTAACTTAAGAACTTAACGTACCGTAGAAAGTTCACCAACTTTTAACTTAACAACATAACTTAACTTAAGACCTTACGGTTAGCCAATGAGATAATTCTGCGTTCAGCATGTGATAACTGTCAATTATTATTTTTATTTTTTTTTATAAATAAATAGAAAAATACCATTTGTAAACTATCATTCTCCTTTTTGGTGGACATACATTATCATGAATGATTTGTGTTTATGTTATTGGGGATAAACTATCTATGAGATATGAGTGTAGCTGCATATACCTATAAACATCAAGTCTAGAACTGAAATAAGACAAAACTTTTTTGCTAGGAAAGATTAAATTCTCATTATTGCTCAAAAACAATCAACATCTTCGGTAAACTATTTTGTTTTATTATATTTTTATATTATTGCTTTTAAAGTAGTTAATATATTCTTTCTATATAGCAAAATCATAATTTATAAGTTTTATTTAGAGGTTAAGTACATAGTTTACACTTGTTTATTTCATAAGGTTGTCAATAATTTGATAATCTCTGAAATCAACACGCATGCTCTACTCTTACGTTACGGACATTTATAAATAGACTTTATTTTTATATCTTAGGTTAAGTTTCTACGGCGTTAAGTTAAGTTACGTTACGGTGGTTATAAATTATACTTAAGAGATTAAGCCCATTAAGCTTATTGTTAATAGATGGTATTTACACAAATAATGTATTACCTACAATGCAATAAAAAGGTTTATATAAAATTCTCAGTAATTTCTTGTAACCAATCTACCCTAACATCGGAATATTTTGAATGTTTTTCATTCAGTTTAATGAGATAGTATCCTCGTTATTTGCATAGTGAAGTCTTGTAATAATTTGTTGTTTTAAGTGTCCTAAAATGTCGAGAATTTCTTCGTGGATTATTAACTTTCCAGAGTTGGAAATCAATGAGGATAAAGTTTTTTGTAAAGTTTGTGCCAAAATAGTGGTTTGCGAAAAAAAGTTCAAAGTGGTTCAACACGTGAAAACATCATTGCATAAAGCCAAATTGCAAAAAATGAAATCACAACCGGTTCAACAATGCGTTGTGAGGTCATTTCAAAACGCCGACAAAACAAAAAGTGACAAGGAGGTATTTAATCAGGACTTGTGCAAAGCTCTTGTTGCGGCAAATATTCCATTAAAGAAGTTACAAAACCTACATCTAAGAGAATTTTTACAAAAATATTGCAATCAAACCATTCCTGACGAATCTACACTCAGAAAAAAAAAATGTACATGCTATATATATAAATGTAATAGAAGAAATTAAAGTTTTACATCATTGTTGATGAAAGCACAGATGTTTGTGGAAGATATATGGTACATCTTATGATTGGAGCCTTAAAAGAAAATGAACCAGGTACATCATATTTAATTGCATCAAAACAGAAAAAACTAACAATACAACTGTTACCCCGATTTATTCAACAATCTCTAGCAGAATTTTTTTTACCAAATCAAATTCCCTCAGAGAAGTTCTTAGTGTTTTTGTCTGACGCAGCACCATATATGATAAAAGTAGGGCAAAACTTAAAAATATTTTATCCAAATATGGTCCACGTTACTTGTCTTCTGCATGGAATAAACTTAGTTGCAGAAACTGTGAGAACAGAATATCCCTTGGTTAACAAGCTAATTTCGAATGTGAAAAAAATATTTTTAAAAGCCCCTTTAAGAGTGCAGTTGTATAAAGAGAGAATGGTAGGGGTGTGTTTGCCCCCGGAACCCGTAATTACGCGATGGGGGACATGGATTAAAGCAGCTATATTCTATGCAGAAAATTTTGAAGCAATTAAGGATTTAATTTTGGATATAGAAGACAATTCACAATGTGTAGTGCAAAGTAAAGAATTGTTAAAAAAATCCCCTTGTGCCTAAGCAAGTTGTGTTTATAAAGGTTAATTTTAGTTTTTTACCTGATGTAATAATTTCATTGGAAAAGAAAAATTTAAGTTTAATCGAATCAACAAGTTTTATTGCAACAGTTTCCGATAAATGTAACAATGTTCCTGGTGACATAGGCCTTAAGATTAGAAAAAAATTAAATACAACTTTATTAAAGAATGAAGGGTTCAATGAAATAAGGGAAGTGAAAAACATTTTTGAGGGAAAATTTTCCAAAGAAGTTTTACGTTGGCCCTGTACATTACTTCCAAAATTACGGTATTGTCCTATTACTTCGGTAGATGTTGAAAGGACCTTTTCTATATCAAAACATATTTTTACAGACAGAAGACAAAAATTTTTAATAGAAAATTTCGAAAAATATTTAATTATAAATTCCTTTTATAATATTACTATTTAATATTTTTATACTATTCTATACTTAACTTCTACTAGTTTTTGTGTTTCGTTTGTTTTAAATAAATTTTTATATTACATATTTTCTTTTGTTTTTTTTTTTTTCGTGTAATGGCTTTGATAGCGTACCAAATTAGGAACAGCAATGTTAATTAGAACCCAACAGTGAATGGTCAAGTGGAAATATTCGCTAGGCATCAGAATTAATTTTCAAATAAATTAATTAATTTAAAAAATCGCGTCCCGGCTGGAATTTGAACCCGGGACCCCTAAGTCCACAGTCCAACGCACTAACCACTGAGCTACCCACCCCCTACTTTTTTTTAAGTATTTTTAACAAATATGCATTTGCATATTTAGGCATAATTGGACAAAATAACTGCATATCTTTGGTAAAAACGATGCATATATATGCGCATATTTTGTTATATTTTGATGCATATATTCCGCCCTCTAGTCATACATAATTATAATAATTATTATTATAATTATCTAATGCTAACGCACAAGCACAAATAAAACCTAATATATGGGAAAAATTGGCTATTTGTCCTTTGTGTAAAACACTTGTATATACAATAATTTTTCCAAATTTTTACTATTGGTAACCCTATTTCTTGTCTACAAAGATTTCAAGTACTTCAAAATAAAGCAAAGGGAAACCAACTTTGCTTTGACATACCAATTTTTTCAAGGTTCAACAACTTATCATAGAATCTATATTGGAATTGAATTTTAAAATTATTAACAATGAAGCTTAGCATTACCGTTATAAATTTCACATGCTATTTTTTTTTTTGTCAAAAGATTAGACATGTTAGGACATACATTTAAGAAATAGTGACCATTATTCAAAGGTTTAATACAAATGCCATGGAATGTTTTATTTGTGGAAGGGTTAAAAGTATATAACAGTTCTCCATTAATAACACTGGCTCACACGATTTTTCTAATAATAAATAAACATAGCTATTTACAGACCTATTAGTCTTATAAACACATTTGCTAAAATTTTTAAAAATGCATTAAAATACGTTTGCATGACTATCTACACAAAAATAATATTCTCAGTGAAAAGCAATTTGGGTTTAAAACAGGGTTTAGTACTAACGATGCAATGTTTGAACTTGTTAACCGAATCAAACTTACTTTGGATAAGGGTGATAAATGTATTGCAGTGTTCTTGGATTTAGCAAAGGCATTTGATACAGTGCCTTATCAATTTCTCCTTAATACTTTACAACAGTATGGAGTGAGGGGCACTGTATTAGATCTTTTCTAAAACTATTTGTTAAATAGTGTATATATATATATATATATATATATATATATATATATATATATATATATATATAGGGTGGATCGATATCTCAGAAACCAGATGTAGAAAAAATTTCATAAACCTAATGGTGTTTTTCACTGGCAAAAAATAAAAGACTTTATTAAGCGTTTTAGGTTCTAAATATTATAAAGAATGATGAAAAGTCCATCATTTGTTTTACTTTGAATGCATAATTTTTTTAAAAAGGTATATTTTAGAATGATTTAAAAGTTATGGACTTTCCATCGTTTTTTATAATATTTAAAACCTAAAACACAAAATACAGTCTTTTATTTTTGCCTAATTACTTCAGGAAACGTTTCTTAGATTCAAAAAATTTACCGCTGTCACGTATCATTGGATTAAGTCTTAAGAGATTAAGCCCATTAACGTAATAGTTTTTGGATTGGTATAATTGTTATTGGATTGGTATTTCTACCCACAGATAAAGTATTACTTACAATGCAATAAAACGGTTTATTAAAAATTCCCAGTAATTTCTTGAAAACAATCTACCCGGATCGGTGTTTTTAATAGAAAATTTCAAAAAAATATTTAATTATAAATTCCTATTATAATATTATTAGTTGAAATTTTAATTTTAAAAATTAAAAATCTGATGTGTCCAACACATGACTTTCCTATCTAGGTATTACAGGCCTTTTCCGGTTATTTTGTACAACCTATTGCAGCATCTCTATAAATGTTTAGAGGATAAACTAAATATATACATTGTCCACATACATCTACCGCGAAACATTTTTCTATAGATATTCATTGAAAATGAAAATACTGAAAAATTTAAATTTAGCACTTTTCCTACAATTTTTCCATTACGGTCCATTTTAAAAAAATCA